GCACATACACACACAGATACATACATACATATATATACATACATATATATATATGTATAGATACAAAAAAAAAAGACCCCTCGTTTTCTCACCCCGGTAGTTGTCGTTGCGAGTCATGCAGTGCCCCTCATGTGCTGCCAGGTGTGAGTTGACGAAGCAGAAGGACGTGTCCCAGAACTGAACGGTGAGGGCGGGAGGGGCCCGGGAGGAAGAGAGAAGGGGTGAAGGGGGAGGGCGGGGAAGGGCGAGAGGAGGGGGAACTAGTGTGCTGCCTGGTGTGAGCTAACGAAGCAGAAGGAGAGGTGTCGAGTCCTAGAAGAATCTATGGCGACATAGGGGCCTGGGACGTGGGGATGTGGCTTTTGAGAATTCTCAAAAGCAACATCAACAGAGGTGTCGTGTCCTATAATTGATGGTGACGGAGGGGCCCGGGACGTGGGGAGTAGGGAGACGAGATGGATCATGAACAGGAAGGAAGGAAGGAAGGAAGGAAGGAAGGAAGGAAGGAAGGAGCATGCTGTTTGAGACGCCTTAGAGAGCGTACCTTGAGCGAGACGCTGACAGCACCCTTGTTGGCAATCACATGGCCGATACCAGTAGCCTCGCTTGTGGCTGTAACATCAGTGATGGCTTTCTGTGGCACACATGGGGAGGGGGAAGGGGGGGAGAGAAGGGGAAGAAGAGGGTTGGGAGTGGATGGGAAGGAGAGAGATTAAGGGGGGGGAGAAGGGAGAGGTTATGACATGCTTGTGGCTGTCACGTCAGTCGTGGCTCTTTTTCTCTGGTGCCCTGCCCACACAAGGTGACTCCTGAGTCCACTCAAAGTCACCCCGCTTGTGGCTAACACGTCAGTGGTGGCTCTTTGCTGCCCACACATGCCGAGCGCAGGAGAAGAGAGAGGGAAATAGTGAGGTGGGAAAGCGAAGCAGTTGGGGCAAAGGCGAGAGGAAATGGGTCAGGGCAGTGACAGTAGGTGGGCATGAGCAAGAGTTGAGCTGGGACCAGCAGCAGCAACAGCAGAATCAGCAGACCACCACCACCGGCGCCACTAGCAGCAGCAGCAGCACCACCACCACCACCGCCGCCGCCACTAGCAGCAGCAGCAGCACCACCACCACCACCACTGCCGCCACTAGCAGCAGCAGCAGCAGTAATGATCCCACCTGTGAAGTTTCCAGCACCAGCACCGGCACCACCACTGGCACCACTAGCAGCAACAGAACAGCAGCAGCAGCAGCATCAACAATGATCGCACCTGTGAGGTTTCCAGCACCAGCACCACGAGTCGCATCTGGCCACGTGTGGTGCCCTTCACCATCTTGTAGTGCGGAGCGAAGTGTGCTCTGCACGGCAACGAGGGCGTGAGAAACGGAGTGTGCGTGCGGTGAGGAAAGTAGAGAGCGTGAGAAACGGAGCGTGTGTGGGGAAAGGAGAGAGCGTGAGAAACGAGTGTGCATGGAAAAACGAGGGAGTGAGAAACGGAGTGTGCGAGATAAGTAGTGTGCGCTTGAGGACATGGGTGTGTGTGTGGCGAGAAAACAAGGGATTGAGAAAGCGAGCGATTTATGAAAAAACTACAAAAGTGTGAGACTGATTGATTAAGGGGTAGCTACACAAAAGAAGAAACGACATTAACTACAGCACAACTGACAGCTCATTCACATCGGGGACGGCACTTGCCTAATAACAACAACCCAATCCTCCTTGCAGGTGGCGCAGCTGGAAAAGCAGAAATGGCACTTACTACAACACAGCTGGCACTTTCTCAATTCCAAGACAGACAGGCACTTACTTTATAGCAGCGACCCAGTCTTCCATGCAGGTGGCATAGCCAGGACGAGGCTGATACTCGCACTCCTGTGGAGCGGAGGTGACAGGTGAAACAGGGGAAAAGGGTGCAAGCAATCGATGCATGAGAGCTACTGGTCGGTTAACAATGCAGCCACCCAGTCTTCCATGCAGGTGGCATAGCCAGAACGAGGCTGATACTCGCACTCCTGGTTGGGGTGGGGAGGGAGGGAGATCAAAAATAGCGCATCAAGAAGAGAAATACAGCAGAGTGTGGGAACAAGTCATGTCTGATAATTGCATTCGTAGATGCGGAGGGAGATGGGAAATACAGCAGAGTGTGGGGCATACAGCAGAGTGTGGGGCATACAGCAGAGTGTGGGGCATACAGCAGAGTGTGGGGCATACAGCAGAGTGTGGGGCATACAGCAGAGTGTGGGGCATACAGCAGAGTGTGGGGCATACAGCAGAGTGTGAGGCATACAGCAGAGTGTGGGGCATACGGCAGAGTGTGGGGCATACAGCAGAGTGTGGGGCATACAGCAGAGTGTGGGGCATACAGCAGAGTGTAGGGCATACAGCAGAGTGTGGGGCATACAGCAGAGTGTGAGGCATACAGCAGAGTGTGGGCCATACAGCAGAGTGTGGGGCATGCAGCAGAGTGTGGGGCATACAGCAGAGTGTGGGGCATACAGCAGATTGTGGGGCATACAGCAGAGTGTGGGGTACAGCAGAGTGTGGGGCATACAGCAGAGTGTGGGGCATACAGCAGAGTGTGGGGCATGCAGCAGAGTGTGGGGCATGCAGCAGAGTGTGGGGCATGCAGCAGAGTGTGGGGCATACAGCAGAGTGTGGGGCATACAGCAGAGTGTGGGGCATGCAGCAGAGTGTGGGGCATACAGCAGAGTGTGGGGCATGCAGCAGAGTGTGGGGCATGCAGCAGAGTGTGGGGCATACAGCAGAGTGTGGGGCATACAGCAGAGTGTGGGGCATACAGCAGAGTGTGGGGCATACAGCAGAGTGTGGAGCACACAGCAGAGTGTGGGGCATACAGCAGAGTGTGGGGCATACAGCAGAGTGTGGGGCATACAGCAGAGTGTGGGGCATACAGCAGAGTGTGGGGCATACAGCAGAGTGTGGGGCATACAGCAGAGTGAGGGGCATACAGCAGAGTGTGGGGCATACAGCAGAGTGTGGGGCATACAGCAGAGTGTGGGGCATACAGCAGAGTGTGGGGCATGCAGCAGAGTGTGGGGCATACAGCAGAGTGTGGGGCATACTGCAGAGTGTGGGGCATACAGCAGAGTGTGGGGCATACAGCAGAGTGTGGGACATACAGCAGAGTGTGGGGCATACAGCAGAGTGTGGGGCATACAGCAGAGTGTGGGGCATACAGCAGAGTGTGGGGCATACAGCAGAGTGTGGGGCATACAGCAGAGTGAGGGGCATACAGCAGAGTGTGGGGCATACAGCAGAGTGTGGGGGATACAGCAGAGTGTGGGGCATGCAGCAGAGTGTGGGGCATGCAGCAGAGTGTGGGGCATACAGCAGAGTATGGGGCATACAGCAGAGTGTGGGGCATACAGCAGAGTGTGGGGCATTGACAAAGCAAAGCCAAGGCGAGCAGCAAAATGAAGAGGTGGGTGGAGTGGGGAGGAAAGGACAGAAAAGGGCGGAATGACTCGATGAATGAGAGCGAAGGGATAAGCCGCGCAAGCAGCAAGCAGTCGATACGAATGCATGCAAAATATGGTCCGTGCGTGCGTGCACGTATAAAGCCCGGGAGAAGTTTTGAGAGATCTCAGATATTGCGTTTTGAGATGTTTCAGAAGTTGATCGATGGTTGCGAGACGAGACGAGACGAGACAAGACGAAACGAGCACAAGTTTCGTCCGGGCCTGTTGGGAGCCAGCGAAAGCGAGAGAATGAGCACATTGGATTGGAATGGTTTCTTTTGTTGCTCAATCGTTTCTGGGAGGAGCAGCGGAATTGACCTGCGAGCCGATAGCAATGAGCTCGTGGTCCGTGCCCTTGGGGAGCCAGGGGGCGAGAGGGGGCAAGCGGGCGGGCGGCACCATGCAAGATGCATGTAGGCATGCACATGCACATGCATGAGGGACTGACCTGCGAGCCGATGGCAATGAGCTCGTGATCTGTGCCCTTGGGGAGCCAGGGAGAGAGGTCGTCAGGCTGTATGGGGCATGGGGAGTGGCATGGGGCATGGTTCATGGGGCATGGGGCATGGGGTATGGAGCATGGGGCATGGGTCATGGGCGTGGGCAATGGGGCATGGGGCATGGGTCATTGGGCATGGGGCATGGGGCGTGGGTCATGGGGCATGCGGCATGGGTCACGGGACGGCATGTGCATGCAGAGATGCCCACACACAAGTGTGAGATGTAGGCATGCACATGCACATGCACATGCACATGCAACATATTGGCATCCACTTGGATGGACATCCACGTGCACAGCCCACATCATCCACCACTCCTCAAAACTCCTCGTAACCCCTACCTATCCCCTCATCCTACCGGGGGTGCATTGCCCACGTTCCACGACCCGATAAACAGCTTGATGGGCTGCTGTGGCGGCGCCCGCGCTGCCACCACGTGCAGCAGCACCTGCGGGAGGGGAGAGAGGAGGGGGAGGATTGCAGGGCAGGGCGCGAGGCAAGATTTGGGGTAAGTAACAGCGTTTGATTTCTCCGCTCAAACATCTCATTCTGTAAGCTTGATGGGCTGCTGTGGCGGCGCCCGCGCTGCCACCACGTGCAGCAGCACCTGCAGGAGGGGAGGGGGAGGAGGAAGGGAGGGGGGGAGGGGAAGGGGGGAAGGGGGTGGGAGGGGGGGGGGGGGGGGGGGGGGAGGTTGGGAGCGAGGGAGGGTTCCGAGTCAACTGAATCTAAACTGATCTGGAAGGGCTCGTGCTGCCACCAAGCAGCAGCACCTGTGGGAGGAGGGGAGGTTGGGAGTAGGGGGGAAGGTTTGAGTCGACTAAAAAAAACTGCTGTGGAGGGGGGCTCGCGCTGCCACCGCGTAGCAGCACAGGGCAAGAGAGGGGGAAGGAAGAGAAGGGGGAGGACGAGAGGGGGAAGGAAGTACAGGGCAGGAGGGAAGGCAGGCGGGGGAGGAAGGGGAGCATTGGGGTGCTGCTGGGCACTCAGAGAGAAGACGCGTGTAACGTAAGTAAGCGCCTTGTGCAGTTGAATCTGAATGGAATTGTAACATTGCAGGGTATTTATTATAAGATGCGTGTAAGCTCCTCATGCAGTAGAATGAAACCATAACATGCTCCCTCCCTCTCCCTCTCGCTCTTACACACTTCACCTTCTGCTTCCCCCCACCTCTCACCCTGTTGAATTCTCCCCCCCACTCCCCGCTCCCACCTTCTCCCTCTCCCTCTTTCGCTCACCTTCCCTACAGATGCCTTCTTGCTTCCCCCCCTTTAACTTCTCATCTTCATACCCCCCTCCCTCTCACCTCCCTCTCCCTCTCACTCACCTCTCTCCCTCCCGATCTCACCTTCCCTTCAGACGATTTCTTCCCCTCCTTGGCCACGATCTCGTACCACTCGGGCTCCAGTGTGCGGTCTGCAAAAGGAAAGGGGAGGGTGGGGAGAAGAAGAGAACCAGATTCAGGAGAGGGGTTGGAAAGCTGAAGGGGGTGGTCAAACATATCTTCCCCTCCTTGGCCACGATCTCGTGCCATAAGGGCTCCAGTGTGCGGTCTGCAGAGGGGAGGGGAGGGGAGGGGAGAATGGATGGAAGAAGAGAGCCAGGTTGGAGGGCGAGGTTTGATTCGTTTGAACGAGACCAGCTATCCTTGGCCACGATTATGCACAGCGGCTTGATGGACTCCCCCACTTCGGCACCCACCCACCCACACGGCCTCCCCATGCCCGCACCCCCGCACGCCCGCACACCCTTAGAGGCGCCTCAAAAGTCACCCACACGGCCTCCCCATGCCCGCCCCCCCCCCCCCCCCCCCCCCCCCCCCCCATGCCCGCACGCCCGCCCACAAGCCCCAACGCCCACAGTACTGCATGCTCCCCCATTCACATACACGGGTCGGTTTCTGAGCAGGTCACACACGCGCAGCGCCTTGATGGACCCCAGCACAGCACCTTGCGCATGCCCATGGCCGTCTGTCTGTACCCTGTGCCTTGTCACTCGGTCACTCCCTATCTCTCTCACCCGGGTCAGTTTCAAGTAGCCCCTCCACGCGCAGCGCTTTGATGGACCCCAGAACCCACTTTTTCACCCGCCCATATGCCCCCTCATCCGCCCGCCCATATGCCCCCTCATCCGCCAGCCCATATGCCCCCACATTCGCCGCACGCCCACAGTGCTGCATGTTCCCCCATTCACCTACCGGGGTCAGTTTCGAGCAGGTCACACACGCGCAGCGGCTTGATCGAACCCAGCACCTTGCGCATGCCCATGGCCGTCTTCCCCGCCACCGCCACGCGCACCTCCGCCGACTGCGCGGATACAGGGGGCGGGGAGAACAGGCGGAAAGTGGAAAGGGTGGGGAGGAAAGGGCGGGGGATGGTGGAGCGGGGGGAGAAAGGGTGGGGGATGGGCGGAAAGGAAAAAAAAAAAAAAAAAAGTGAGGGTGGGTGGAAGAGGGGAAGCCAGGGGAAATGGCGGAGGCGGAAGGGAAGCCGGACGACTGAGGGCACGAATGGGGGATGAAGTCGGGGAGGTGAGCGCGCGGGGGAGGAGAGGAGGGAGACGGGGAGAAGGGTGATGGAAAGGGAGAAATGGAGGAAGGGAAAGGGAGAAGTGCGAGAAGTGAACGAAAGAGTAAGCGAAAGCGTTAACGAGATGGACACGAGAGTAAACGAAAGAGGCGAAGGTTACTTTTTCATCCTTGACGTCGAACGAGTGGCCTTGGTCGAATGTGATCGAACCGTCGTCTGTCTTCTCGTGCACCTGAATTCACCAACCGAGACAGCAATGACAACGGGTATAAATTAAATTCGCGAGTGCTGATAACGCGAACGAAAGCAGGACCTGCCCAGGACCGTGACATTGATAAGAAGTACAACCAAGGGGGGGGGGGGAATGACACTGCAACCAGACTAGACTATCAACTTTTCGAACTCTTAGGAAATTGCTCTCTTCTCCCTGAATATCGGACAATGGAAAGAACTATAGAATGCAGCGAAACGGAGATCTTTATCACGGAAGCATGCGGTGCTGCGCGGAGGGGAGGGGAGCGGCGCCTGGCGTTACTACGTACGTCTGAAGTTCGAAAATAGCTGTCTTCCACGGCGACTTGAACCACAGGGTTACTCAGCGACCCCACGTCCTTTATGGCCACCACCTTTACAGTCACTCGACACGCCCGAAGGCCTCCCTGAGACACGAGACGGGATGCAGCGAAAATAGAAGAAGCACGTCAGATGAGACTGAAAACGTGATAATACATTGAGCTACGGTGATCTAGTGGTAACCCGAAACGTGCTTCTATTTCACATCATAATTCGCATTTCCTTATCTCGTAAGAAACGGCATTGCCCGTCAAGTCATCGCAATGCGTGAAAGTCGCGCATTTCACAAAGCGAAAGCTAAAATTAGGTGAAGGAAGCAGCTGTACCCTAGAAGACATGGCCTGCGCTTATGACGAGGCTTGAATGGCTTGAGTGGCAACTCAGTCGACGACGCTTAGTGAGGAACCCCTTTGTCGAACCCTACTAGGGCTGATGCAACCAGCAGGCTGCTACCTAGAGTCGCTAAGAACGGGGAAAAGGGTAATGTTTGAGATCCTGTGATGGCAGCAGCTGTATTACCCCCAGCTGCTTTTCAATGCAGCTTCGACAACTTCAGTGCACACAAACTGAAAATGGAGTCAGCAGCTGAATATAACTTAATATTAATAACCTTATCCTGCTAGCAGCAGAGAAACGGCCACTTCGGGCGGACAAGACCGCGTAATGCGTTGTTTTTACACGATGTTTGTAACGAGGAGCTCGCGTGAGAGAATAGATGGGAGATCAGCCCAGCTATCAACCTGTCCCGAGTGTGTTTCTAGGTGATGATCGTTGACTTGAGCTGAGCTGACGAGTTGGTTGGCTGGGCTCATCGTCGTCACATCCCGTCCCCGTCATTTCCTAGGTGCGCTTTGAGTGCATGGTGGGTGCTAGTCTTCCACGAATGCTCCTGCGTCCTACAGCTGATGCGCGGTTGAGTCGTGTCGCGGATGGGTTGAAATAACGAGCCGTGTTTCGCAAAACGTGGGGGAACACGGTGAAAGGCAGAATTTTACAATCTTTTATTCAATCCACTTCAATGGGAGGGCAACACATTCAGCAGAACCCATATCAGTGCCATGAAAAGTTGGTGTATCTGGCTTGTGGCGGCTGATTTGATGTTTTGCTTCTTGCTTGGTGGCCCACTGGGGCACTGGACTGATCACTGGGACTCGCAGTGGACTTGAACTTGTTCCTCACTGTTTCCCTAACCCAGTTCGATTCCTTGGTTTTCTCTATGGTTCTGTGCGGCGATTCGGGGTGGATATATATGTAGCGCGTTTTCATTCGGTGAATCTAGCTTTCTCACGATTCGGAATGATGCGGCTGCTCGCCACCACCTGGTTTGAAAGGACAGCCAGATGAGCGGACGCGGTAAGCGCACTCTACTGTATTGATACCCACTTACTGGTCCCGGTTTTGGATACTGTATGGTGCATCTCTCGTGACAAAGACTCGCGTCACGGAGAGTCTGCATTTCCGTACGTTTATAGCATGCTTTGGTACGTTTACAAGTCCGAGGAAGCCGTATACTTACGACCTGTTGCGATCCATCCCGATTTCCTTGATTCAATCCAATCCATCCAGAGTTGTCATTTCCACGAAAGCTGAATAATGATATTCTTTATTTTGCTCAACTCTCTTGAACATCTCATAACACGTACAGTACATTCAAAACTGCAGTGTATACCAGTTCTTCTAGATCTCAACAGTTGGTCGCCCAAAATGTTTACAAGTGCGAAATATGGGACTTTTTGGCATCTTAACGGGATGTAAAACCCGACATTGGGTATTTTGTTTCCAGTGCTGGAAAACCATCTATAGTGCATTTTCGATTCACTGTAACCCCCACGTACTGGAGGGTGTCTTTCATTACCCTCGAGGTGCTTTCGAAGGAGGTGAGAGCTTGTTTCGTAAGTTTCACAGCATACCGAGTCCCTATGGGTCTTCCCAACCTCAACTTCGTGTCTGGCTTCGTGTCTGATATGGGATAGGAACGCGCCCTAAAGGTGACGGTTCATTTTTTTACTGTGACGACCCTCGATCTTGCTGCATTCACCACAGAACACCAACAGCAGCCAACGGTCCTGTTCGATAGGAAATAGGCAACCATGCTTCCACCGAACACCCCAGCGGAATTCGGTCGTCAGAACGGTTTTGCCAGTGTCGTCGAGGGGGGTCGTCGGAGCCGAGAATGACGAGGCGGGCGACTGACGCGCGTGCGGGCCCGCCAGCCTGGCCCAGGGCTGGGCCGAGCGCACGACCGCCGCCCCGCAGCCCCGCCCCGAATGTGAACAGTGGCCCACGTTACCGGGTGGGGTCGGCGAACTGGGGACACCTCGCGCGTGGGAAAATTACCCTCGCGCGAAGGCAGCCCACACGCGCCACCTGCCCGCGAGGTCCTAGTAACCCATCGCGGCCTGCCCGGACGGGCACGCGAGGGCCGGGCGAAAAGTCGGGGCCCCCTCGGGACGCTCGACAATTTCGCGACCCGTTGCGGCGACGCCACGTGTTCGCTCGTGGTTTCGCATCGGGCGCATGCGATATTTTGTCGTTGCGAGCGAAAAAAAAAAGGCCGCGACGCGGACAACGAGGTTCGTTACCCACTACGAAGTCGACACGTGTTGTGCGAATGCACGCTCATCGCGCACGCGATATTGCGTCCCCTCGCCGACCAGGGACAATGGACGCGAGGTCGGCGCCCTGCCGAAGCGGAGTCGGACCACCTGTTCCACTTGCGCATGCGCCCTCAGAGCCCTGCCGAGCCAGGCCCCACACCCTTGGGCGACGCTGAACGGGGATGCGGTGGGCCACCGTATCCTTTTCTTTGTGGATGGTGGCCTCGCTCCCCATTTTCCGCATCTCGTTTCGCTCCTCCTTTTCCTTTTTTCCTCCTTTTGTTGCTCTGTGCGGTGTCAGATTACTATAGCTGATGCATGTTTGTAGGCTATAGTGGGGTAGCACATATGGGGTACAGCTTTCTAGGGTTGTATTTGTACCCAACCCTGACTTAGTCATTTCATTCCTGTTTGTTTATTCTCACATGGTATAGAGCGGGTCCTTCTAAGGACCGTTTTTTTGGGCCCACCGAAGCGCCCCCCGAGGCGCGATTTTTTTTAGCGACCCCTCGGGTCGCCATTTCCCCTGCGGCCCCGCCGCCTTCACTGACGCGGCTCCGCCGCCGGCCCTTACGCGGCCCCGTCGCCGGCTTTCACGCGGCCCCGCCGCCGGCTCTGTCGCGGCCCCGCCCCGGCCTTTACGCGGCCCCGCCGCCTGCTCTCACGCGGCCCCGCCCCGGCTCCTTCGCGACCCCGCCGCCTGCTCTCGCGCGGCCCCGCCCCGGCTTCTACGCGGCCCCGCCCCGACTTTCACGCGGCCCCGCCGACGGCTTTGTCGCGGCCCCGCCCAGGCCCTTACTCGGCCCCGCCGCCTGCTCTCACGCGGCCCCGCCCCGGCTCCTTCGCGGCCCCGCCGCCTGCTCTCGCGCGGCCCCGCCCCGGCTTCTACGCGGCCCCGCCCCGGCTTTCACGCGGCCCCGCTGACGGCTCTGTCGCGGTCCCGCCCAGGCCCTTACGCGGCCCCGCCGCCTGCCTCCGTCGCGGCCCCGCCCCATCCCAGCCCAGCCGCCCCTTCGCGGCCTGGTCGCCTCCTGACGGCCCCGCCGTCCCTTCGTGACGGCCCCGCCGTCCCTTCCTGACGGCCCCGCCGTCCCCTCCTGACGGCTCCTGCCGTCCCCTTCTACCGGCCCCCACCACCCCCCCCCCCCCTTTTCCCGTCGCCCGTCGCGGCTCCTTCGGGGGCCGCAAGCGGCCCCCTCAGGTCGCCTCGACAGGCGACGGGAGAGGCCAGCAGAGGGGTGTCAGGTGTGTGGCCTCCCCTGCTTCTCCTCCTCCTTCATCTCCCACTGCAGCAGCCGAGCCGCTCACCTGCAGCAGCCGAGCCGCCCCACCGCCGAGCCGCCCTGCACCCGAGCCGCCCAGCAGCCGAGCCGCCTTGCCGCCGAGCCGCCGGATCGCTGAGCTGCTGAGCTGCAGTTGCTGCCGAGCCGCCCTGCCGCCGAGCCGCCGAGTCACCGAGCTGCTGAGCTGCAGTTGCTGCCGAGCCGCCTTGCCGCCGAGCCGCCCGAGTCGCCCGAGCCGCCGAGCCGCCGAGCTGCCGAGCCGCTGAGTCGCCGAGCCTACTCTTCCCACCACTGGTGAGCTCTTGCCCTGCTAGCACGCTGCGCGTCGCCTGCTTGCCTGCCTGCCTGCCTTTTGGCTTGCCTGGCTGCCTGCCTTCCTGCTGCTAGTCCTGCTCCTACTTCTACTTGCGGAGCCAAATGCAGCCCCAGCGACGCCTGCGTGAGCCCCTCACGCCCCAGCAGCTGCGTGAGTGGTACGCTGGTTGGGGCTGTAAAGGTGGCGGCGCTACTCCTACTACCACTCCTGCTGCTTCTACTCGTGGTGGCGGCCAGATGCAGCTCCCGCGACCCTCTCGCGTGTCTCTCACGCCTCGCCAGCTTCGTGAGTGGTACGCTCAGAGTGGAGGGTCTCTCAGTGCTGTTCGCTGCTCTTACGTGATACGCACTGGTACTCGGACTGGTCAGCCTTGTGGGACACGTAGTCATACACCGTCCCGCTGCTTCGCCCGTCTGAGCGACGCCTGGCGTACCGTGTTTGGCGACGAGGCTGAGCTTCCCGACTGGGTGGAGTTGCTTAGGCAGAGGGTCGATATATATGCTCTTGACTATGATGCTATTCTCACTGCCATGTATGCATTGCCTACTAGTGCTGACCGTGCCGGTCACCTGTGCGCCCCGCCTGACCCAGGTATAGGACCTGCTGCTCTAGCTACTGGTGAGGCTGCTGCTCTGGGTGCTCGTGAGTCTCCTGCTCCAGGTACAGGTGCGGCTGCTGCTCTAGGTGCTAGTGAGTCTCCTTCCTCAGGTGCGGGTGAGGCTGCGCTCTCAGGTACCGCGTTGGCTTCGGCCTCCCTCACCTTTACACTTGACTCTGGGGCTTCTCGCTCCTTCTTTCGGGACCGCACCACACTCACGCCGCTTGGTCGGCCGGTTGCAGTCTCCCTGGCTGACCCCTCTGGGGGTCCTGTCCTCGCTCACTTTTCCACTGTCCTCCCGTGTCCGGCTGCCCCCTCGGGCACCCTGTCTGGCCTGTACCTCCCCTCGTTCTCGACGAACTTGGTGAGTGGTGCAGACCTACAGGATGCGGGGGTTCACCAGTTCACTCCTGCGAGTCAGCGGGTGACCCACTGCACGGACGCACGCACAGGCCGGCACCTGGCCACGTTCTCGCGTCGGCCGGGGTCGAGCCTCTACACCCTGACCACTGAGTCTCCTCCTGTCCCCGCGTCCGGTCAGGTA